GACTACGCGCACCAAAGGCTTGGTGCGGGGAGCAGGGACGGGCCGGACCGGGCTGACGACGCGCACCACAGGCTTGGTGCGGGGAGCAGGAAGGGGCCGGACCGGGCTGACGACGCGCACCATTGGCTTGGTGCGGGGAGCAGGAACAGGCCGGACCGGGCTGGCGACGCGCACCACTGGCTTGGTGCGGGGAGCAGGAACAGGCCGGACCGGGCTGACGACGCGCACCACTGGCTTGGTGCGGGGAGCAGGAACAGGCCGGACCGGGCTGGCGACGCGCACCACTGGCTTAGTGCGGGGAGCAGGAACAGGCCTGACCGTACTGGGAACACACACCACTGGCCTTGTGCGGGAATCAGGAACAGGCCGGACCGGACTGGTAAAACACCCCAGTACCTCTCGCCGTGCCTCTACACTACCCTTCTCCCTCGTGACCAGTGGCCCCCGTAACCTGGCGGCCTCCTCTGCTAACCTGCCGAACCGCTCTATCACGGCCTCCCGCTGCCTCGCCGTCCACGGTGTGAGCCCCCCCCCCCCCCCCCCCCCCCCCCCCCCCCCAAACATTTATTGGGCTTGTCTCTCCCCCGTGCTCAAGGCCTCCATCCCTCTTGCCAGACTCGCACTCATCTCCTCCCAAGTCCATCCTCTCTCCTCGTCACGCTGCTTGATCCAGTCGAGGTGGGATCTTCTGTCACGATCGTTGACACATGATGAAGCGGACCAAGGCGCAGCGTGATAAGCGTACATTATTTTAATGAGTACACACAAACAAAACAATAAACGATACGTGAAGTCCTAGGGTTTAAACACAAACGTTACGGATCAAGATCCCACAATACAAAAGTGCCAACAGGCTGCCTAAGTATGGTTCCCAATCAGAGACAACGAGAATCAGCTGCCTCTGATTGGGAACCACCCTGGCCAACATAGAAATACAACGATCTAGAACAGAAACCTAGAAAACTAAACATAGAAACTAACACCCTGGCTCAACATTAAAGAGTCCCCAGAGCCAGGGCGTGACATATGGATACTCACACAAACAGTGCTTTTAAGATTCAATGTTTATTTGACACACAATTACATTGTGCATGTTCAACTAATATGTCATTATCATCCTACATGTCCTCACCTGGGATTCGAACTCACAACCTTTTGGTTCACAGTACTCCAATCTTCCTGCTACGCCACCATGTCCGTGAAGGTTGCAGTTAATCTGACTATTCTCTTATCATTGATTTTATTTACTTTTTTCAGCATGTTAAGGGCTTTCTGTATAGCTGTCTAATATTGGTGGTGCATATTAACCTGTTTTAATGATTCTCCTGAATCACTATGATCAATAAAATATTTTCTTGACTGTACTTTTAACAGAGCTGATATTTACTTCAAAGTGCATTCACCCTATTGCTTACACATATCAATTTGTTTCCGATCTAAACAAATGCCTAGGGTGGAGGGGTTAGGGTTTCTTCTGGACAGGGCCTAACTATACTGTCCCAATAAACACATGCCCAGAGATATTCCTTTTTTGGACAGTGATTAGGGCATTTGTCATTAGTGCTGGTGGCCTGGGTTCAAGACCCGCTAGGGGAGTCACCCTACTGTCACGTTCTTAGCAATATATGTTAATGTCATTATTTGGCAACAGTTACAACACACTTATCTGATCTAATTAAAATGAGTTTCTCATTGAAAGATGAGAATCTGTAGGATTACCCCTTGAGCATGAATTATGACCACATTTCCACTACGTCATAAGTTATCAGTATTTAGTAATTCCAAATAGCTGAGCTTCTCTTCATCGTCTTGAAATACAGTACACACCACATACCGTGTATATCATTCATTTAGAAATTCAAGAATGGATGTAGCAACTGCAGATTGCCCCTTTAACATGTTGTGATTTCTGTGATTTGTCCCAAGTGATTCTGTTGTAATTTGTCTGTTTTTCCACATTAAAACTTAGAGATGGCACTCTGTGTTGTGTATTGTTTTGGTATAACTGGCATCATCATCTTTGCTTAAATGGCAAATGTGAGAAAGTACAGAAATGCTAGTGATATTCTGAGAATATGGCAACCATGTCCTGGCTATGTTTTTATCAGAAGCAACACTACCACCTGGGCTATGTTTCTATCAGAAGCAACATTACCCCCTGGGCTATGTTTCTATCAGAAGCAACATTACCACCTGGGCTATGTTTCTATCAGAAGCAACATTACACCCTGGGCTATCTTTCTATCAGAAGCAACATTACCCCCTGGGCTATGTTTCTATCAGAAGCAACATTACCCCCTGGGCTATGTTTCTATCAGAAGCAACATTACCCCCTGGGCTATGTTTCTATCAGAAGCAACATTACCCCCTGGGCTATGTTTCGGCGACAAATTAGTAATGTTACAGATAGAAAAGCAAAGACGAGATCTGATGTGATTCCTAATCAGAGACACGTTTGTTCTACATGGTTCTGTATATGTGCTGTGGATTTCAAAAAGACGATGGAGTTCTCTTTGAGATGCTCAGCTATCTATAATTCTACCGATTCCCAACTTTCAATGAGAAAAACGTTTTTATTAGATCAGATAGGTGTGTTGTAACCATTGCCAAATAATGACATTAACATACTGTATATTGCTAAGAATGTGAGAGTAGGGTTACTTCCCTATCAGGACTCAAACCCGGGCCACCAGCACCAATGATGAACACCCTAACCACTGTCCCAATAAGGGATAGCACTAGGGCAGGGTTGCCCAACTGGCGTCCTGCAGGCCGAATTTGGCCCACGGGTGGTTTTATTTGGCCCCCCAAGTTTTCTGAGCAAAAAAACAAAAAAGTTTTATTTTGGGGAATTTTCATTGTTAGACATAAAAGACTGTAAAAACACCAGGAAATCAGCTCCAAATGATTTCTATTTAAGAAATCTGTTCAAGTATTCCCACGCATAATAAACAGACACGTCATCATATACAAATGTAAACAAAGTTTGAAATGATTATGTTTTAGTCAAACGTTATATCTGTTTGGGCATCTTGCGGTCAGTTTGCCGTCTACAAATTATTTGTAATTATGTTCCGGCCCCTTGACCATCTGCTCAAGAAACAAATTGGCACGTGGCTGATTCTAGTTGATGATCCCTGCTCTAGGGCATGTGTTTATTGGGACAGTATAGTTAGGCCCTGTCCAGAAGAAACCCTAACCCCTCCTCCCTAGGCACTTGTTTAGATCTGAAACAACTTGATATGTGTAAGCAATAGGGTGAATGCACTTTGAAGTAAATGTCAGCTCTGTTAAAAGTACAGTCAAGACAAACTTTTATTGATCATTTTGATTGAAGAGTATCATTAAAACAGGTTAATATGCACCACCAACATTAGACAACTATACAGAAAGCCCTTAAATTGTTGAAATAAGTAAATCAACTCAATGACGATAGAATATTCAAATCAAGAGGTTGTGAGTTCAAATCCCAGGTGAGGACATGTTGAACAATGATTACTGTATACATGCACAACAATATGTAAGTTGGAAACACTGTGTATGAGTATCCCTAACCTTGCCAACAGACAAGAGCTGTGAATGGATCAGTGGTTCTTTAATCAAGGCCTTGATGGGCTTGGCAACAGTAACAAGGTGTAAGGAAATTCTTTGGGGGCCTCCAGAGTGGCGCAGCGGTCTAATGCAGTGCTAGAGGCATCACTACAAACCCGGGTTCCATCCCAGACTGTATCACAAACGGCCTTGATCGGGAGTCCCATAGGGCGGCACACAATTGGCCCAGCGTCGTCCGGGTTAGGGGAGAGTTTGGCCCAGGGTCGTCCGGGTTAGGGGAGAGTTTGGCCCAGGGTCGTCCGGGTTAGGGGAGAGTTTGGCCCAGGGTCGTCCGGGTTAGGGGAGAGTTTGGCCCAGCGTTGTCTGGGTTAGGGGAGAGTTTGGCCCAGGGTCGTCCGGGTTAGGGGAGAGTTTGGCCCAGGGTCGTCTGGGTTAGGGGAGAGTTTGGCCCAGCGTCGTCCGGGTTAGGGGAGAGTTTGGCCCAGCGTCGTCCGGGTTAGGGGAGAGTTTGGCCCAGCGTCGTCCGGGTTAGGGGAGAGTTTGGCCCAGGGTCGTCCGGGTTAGGGGAGAGTTTGGCCCAGCGTCGTCCGGGCTAGGGGAGAGTTTGGCCGGGGGGGCTTTACTTGGCTCATTGCGCTCTAGCGACTCCTTGTGGCGGGCCGATACATTGGTGGGGCGGGTGTTAAGAAGCGTGGTTTGGCAGGTCATGTTTCGGAGGACGCATGACTCGACCTTCGCCTCCCAAGCCCGTTGGGGAGTTGCAGCGATGAGACAAGATCGAAAAAGGGGGTAAAAAATATATTATAATGATAACTGATACCCAGAAATATTCTTGCAACGTCCCATGAAACGTGTCTAGAACATGAATATCTTACATTCTGAGAACATGGCAACCACGTTCTGTGTATGTTTGGTGGGACGTTGACGGAATATTCTCCTAACCCTCAGAAAACTGGACACATGAATGTTCTTGCAACGTCACATAAAACGCGTCTAGAACATTAATGTTGTATTTTCTGAGAACATTGTAACCACATTCTAGCTAAGTTCTGTTTTACATTAAGGGAATGTTCTCCTAACTTTAACACCAAAATATGCTCAAAAGGTTCTCAGAAGGTTAGAATGATAGAATGTTCCCCTAACTAACGGAAAGCTGGAAACTCAAACATTAGGAGAACATTACAAAAACTTTCTCTCTCCCTAGAATTGTTAGCTGGGTAGTGAGGTCAGCAGTCATGGGCAGCCTTGTGGATGGAGAAGAAGGTGCTTTCTGTATCCATAAGTGTCCGGATATCCGTGTCCTTTGAATTTTTGAATCCTTCTCGACTGTAATGTGATTTGTGGATTCAAATAAGGTATTTCAAATGTGTGTGTGTGTGTGTGTGTATGTGTATATGTGTGTGTGTGTGTTCCCTAGTTTCCAGTGCCTTGCTCTCCTGTACTGGCAGATGTTTCGTCTGAAGAAGGACAACGCCATGAAATACTCCAAAGCTCTACTGGACTACTTTAAGGTACAAATCTTACCCTCACTCTAACCCTCACCCTCAAACTAACCCTCACCCTCACCCTCATCCTAACCCTGAAGTACTCCAAAGCTCCACTGGACTACTTTAAGATACAAAACCTCATCCTCACCCTAACCCTCACCCTCACCCTCACCCTCATCCTAACCCTGAAGTACTCCAAAGCTCCACTGGACTACTTTAAGATACAAAACCTCATCCTCACCCTAACCCTCACCCTCATCCTAACCCTGAAGTACTCCAAAGCTCTACTGGACTACTTTAAGGTACAAACCTCACCAGCAGCTATTTTAACAGCTGGATTTAGTGTGATACAATTAAACGCAGATGTGTTGGATTAGACTGGATAGATTGTAAACGTGTGTTTTATGTCATTCCAGAGTTCTCCCAAAGTGCCTACTACACCCCCCATCTGGAGCGACTCAGGAAAGTAAGGAAGTCTCTCTCTCTCTTATTTCCTCTTTCTCACTCTCAATCTCTGCAATGTATTTTTGAATGTATATAGTATTAGGTTGATTTGATTCTCCCCAGTGAAGTATCATTGTGTTCTTCTCATCCACAGGGGCACAGGGGGGCCTCCCTCCTCCCTCTCCCCCAGCCCCTCAGCCCTCACCCTGGGCAGCTCCCCCTCTTCCCTCATCAGCATTCCCCAGCGCATCCACCAGATGGCAGCAAACCACCTGAACATCACCAACAATGTCCTGTACAGCTATGAGTACTGGGAGCTAGCAGAAAGCCTGGCCAGAGACAACAATGGTGAGAGAGACTACCCCATTATTAGCCAATGAATAGAAATGACCTCTGTGGCTTTTTGAAGAGAGAGAATTTTCACATTGTTACAACAATAATATAACATTTTAAATGTCTCTATTCTTTTGAAACTATTTTGAGTGTAATATTTACTATTAATTTCATTTTTGTTTATTGTTTATTTCACTTGCTTTCGCAAGTTTCCCATGCCAATAAACTGAGAGAGTGAGAGAGCTAATTTTGTTGATACTAGGTTTCAACGCTTTATTCAATTTTATCTAACTCTCTCCTTCACTCTGTCTCGCCCCCTCTCTCTCCCTTTCTCTCTCTCCCTCTCTCCCACTCTCTCCCTCTCTCTCTCTCCTTCTATCTCTCTCAAGAGTTCTTTAACTACCTGAATACTCTGTCAGGGCCATTGACTCTCCACAGTAGTATTGCTCATGCAGTCCAGTACACCAGACAGGCTCTGCAGTGGATACGCATCAGTGCCAATGTGGGCTAGTGGCGGGAGGGATGAGACCCAACAACCTGGCCTAATGGAAGAAGGAAGAGAGGGACACAACCGGTGTGATTATAAGTAGAGGATTCCCCCTGCATTCCACGTCTTCAGGATTATTGTTACGCTTCAATTCTCAGAATGTACCATAAATGACGGATTGGATTTATACACAGTGGTGGCGCTTTACCTTGTGCTTTAACTTGATTGGGGGAAGGTGTTGTTATTCCTCCAATCAAGCAGAGTGAACTGTCTTGGGATCTCTTTCCTCTTCGGATTGTCAGTGCAGATCTACGAAGTGCCACATGGATTTAAAGCCTTTAAACTCGCTGCTTTGCCAAATGTGCCACATGTAATGATGAAACAAACACAGACACTGTCAAACAAGGACATTTAAGAGAAACATGGTACAGTGCACCAGTGAGGACTTTGTGATTCCTCTACTATACAAAACCTAGACTGTAAAAGAACAAGAGACCTGGACTATATTTCTGGAATACAAAGCATTCAACCACAGTAAAACTCTTAACTAGCCTCCTTTGCAAAAAGCCACTGTGGAAACCAGTGACCATTTCCTCAAAAAGCCAATTCCTGCCCACTGGGCATAGACGTCAGTTCAATGTCTAGTTTTGATTTACGTTTGGTTGAGTTATCAACTAACGTGAATTCAACGTGAATAAACAAACAATGTCACCATGTTATTGGATTTAGGTTAAAAGTTGGTTGAAAAAAATACTAAATTCCCTTGCGTTGATTATTTTTTGCAATCCAATCAGTTTTCCATGTTGATTTAACATCATCACATTGATTGATTTTGTTAAAATGACATGGAAACAACATTTATTCAACCAGTTTTTGCCCAGTGGGAAGAGACCTGGACTGCATTTCTGGACTACATTTCCCATGAGCCTTACCAGGACAAATGGATGCATCATGGGAAAGGTATCATAAGTTGAATGCACCAATTTGTAAGTCGCTCTGGATAAGAGCATCTGCTAAATGATGTAAATGTAAAGGTGATTGGGATTTTGAGTTTTCTTTTGGATTGTCAGCCCACTTATCCCGAAGGGTAGATCACGTTACGGGTAGATCAAGTTACCGGTAGCTTTGCTTGTATGACTACACTGTGTGATGGCCTTTTAAATGACATGTTGAGATGCCTTTCACTTTTAATGTGCACTATGTGTGTCAGACCATTTGTTTTTACAAAAAGACCAAAACTATAGCATTTAGATTTGGTTTCTTTGGCCAGTATTCATGTTCCCGCCTTTGCAAAACTTTATTTATAACAGTGTCTAATGTGGTTATCAAAAGTTACATACCGAAATGTGTTTCATAAATGTCTTTTTGATATTGCAAATTGTATGTAGGGGTCTATCTCCTTGTTTGTTGAATCAGAATATGTACAGTGAGTATACAAAACATCAAGAACACTTGCTTTTTCCATGACATAGACTGACCAGGTGAATCCAGGTGAAAGCTATGATCCCTTATTGATGCCACTTGTTAAATCCACGTCCATCAGTGTAGATGAAGGGGAGGAGACAGGTTAAAGAAGGATTTTTAAGCCTTGAGACAATTGAGACATGGATTGTGTATGTGTGCCATTCAGAGGGTGAATGGGCAAGACAAAAAATTTACGTTCCTTTAAACAGGATACGGTAGTAGGTGCCAGGCGCATCGGTTTGTGGCAAGAACTGCAACACTGCTGGGTTTTTCACGCTCAACAGTGCAACTGAAAATTAGGAAGGTGTTCCTGATGTTGTATCTATCTGGTTCAGATTGATTTATACTGACACTTCGTTATCTCTCAGATATTTCCAAAATTCTATTTGGGTCTCACTCAACTTTCCATATGTAGATGAAGCGGCGTGTGTGTGTGTGTGTTTGTTATGTGTGTGTATTCCAGTTATATAGGCCTAGCTGTATTTCTGCTGAGACTGTTGCTCTTAACTCCCTAGCCAACATTGAGAGATCGCTCATTCTGCCACCCCTCTCCTCCATCTCCCTCTCTGTCTTTGACTGACTGACTCCCTGACTCCCTAGCCTCTTTCTTTCTGACCCCCCATCTTTTTTTCTTCCTTTCTCTGAATAGGTTGTCTGATAGAGCTAGTTCTTCTTTCTCCATCACTTATTACCATGCTGCCCTTTCCACCAATAGGAAGACTGCTATGGCAAGCCTCAGCATCTGCTGTCTGGAACCATAGCAACAGCTCGGAATAGCCAATGACACTGGGGAGGCTGTAGGCTACATATGTGCGCGTGACAGGCGCAATGAAAAGAGACCCAGAGTGGAAAGGTAAAAAACGCATTGAATTGTTTTAAAATATACATCAGAGAATCCATAATTAAAAGTAGGCTAGACGAAATATGACAATGGAACAAACTTGAAATATGAAATATGCTTTGTTGACTTCATGCATCTTTAACGGATTTTCGGGGTTAATTCGTTTATGAATGAACGAACAAACGTGCATTGCATGCGATGACGTGCGTGGGATCAAATCGCCATCCATTAAATTAAATCACTGGAGCCGAAATTGGAATTGAACTGATTATTTAGATGTTAAAATCAGCATAATATCGTATAAGCAAACAATATTAGAGCCTGTCATAGGCCCACTAATGGCAGAGGCTAGCCTACCAACAGAGACTTTTGACATAACGGTTTACCCCAGTAGCAGTAACCTACACCGGACTGAAGTATCGGAGCTCCCCCGTGTGTCGGTATTCTCTGCATGTATGCCGCCCGTCATTTTTGCGTAGGTCTGTGCGCGTGCCAGGTTTTCTGAGGACACTGGCTGGAGGCACAGCAGCCAGTCTGCATCAAAAACAAAAGAGAAAAAAAAAGGTGCTATTTTTTGTCGCACTGTCACACTTGGCCTAGTCTACCTGCATTGTCTTTTTTTTTTTCAGAGTCCTACCATAGATAATATATAATAATAATAATAATAATATAATAAATAATAATAATAATAAGGAGGCTGTAGTAATAATACCATAGATTATGCAGATTGTATAATGTCTTTCCAGTCTACAATCCAGTCCAGACCGTTTTCAGATCTCTCTCTCTCTCGCTCTCTCTCTCTCTGTGTGTATGCGTGCGTGCATGTATTATGGGCCCAGTAGGCTGGGTGCAGTGACAGTAAAAACACAGCCCATTCGATGAGGACGTGCGTGCGTGAGAGGATCTTGGGGGGTGGTCGATAGTAGTCCACCACATCTGCTCGTCCCTAATCTCTTTGATTCAATCCCATTTCAATTTTTTTTAGACCCTTCTCTAGTGTCTAAATGGAGTAATCGCCTCTTTTCTCTGCTGTGGAGACCGAGGAGGTAAGGGCTAGGAGAAATGGTCAATGAAATGGAACTTGTCCCTTCACAGCGCTGCGTCAAATGTAGTGTTGTTGACTCGCCACTGGGTGGCACGATAACCTAAGCCAGTGGCAATGCGAGCTGTCACTGACCTGACCGTAAACAGTGAGGGGAGGAGCCGGGGAGTTGAGAGAGGGAGAGGAGAGAGGGAGAGCGAGAGAAAGAAGCAGACAGGCTGCTGAAAATGGAGAGTACATGGAGAGGTGATCGAAAATAATTGACGAACCACAAGAGCGTGTCAAAATAGGAAGACCACGACAGTTACACTAAACTCCAAATAAGGAATAACGCTGCCTCCTAGACGCTTTAGAATCCTGCGAGAACGACATTTAATTGCTTGGTTTCAGCACAACATCAAGTCAGTAAAAGAGAGAAAAGGTGAGTATAAAAGTGACTTCCGCTTTTACAATGTGAACTGTGCAGAGTGTGTGTGGACACTGTCACACTGGTGCACCTCGTGTTGTTTATTCAGTGTTGGGCAATTATGTAACAGGATTTCGATGTAAGTAACGTGTTCCCACTGCACACAGAATTTGTGCAGAGTGTGTCGCTGCGACACATGATTCATTCTGTTAACTAGCTACATTTGTTGTTTATCAAAAGGTGAAATAGGGTGTACTTATAGTTGTCCTGTTTCACACATGTACGGTGTGGTCCAACCACATCAAATTCTCGCCATGCAGGTCGACCATTAATCCTTGTTTGTGTTCAGATCAAGGAGGGTTAGTTAGAGGGACTGACTATATCTGTAGCCAACTCCAGCAAGGCCTACAAGCGTGACCCCAGTAACCTGCTTACTTTAATCATTTTCAGTACAGTAGGTTATAGTCATTGAGGAGAGTGGTGTTAGCTAGCTACAGTATAAAGTATGGTCCATCATCTAACAGAGCTGACAAAAAAGGGAGAGGCTGGAGTTAGGGAGGGGGGGGTTCTACTAAGCGAACATATGGAATTGTTTTAAGATGGTCAACATGGATAATTTTGAGCTATTTGATTTAGAATTTTAAGACCTCTGTAGGTACAACATTTATTTGATAACATATTGAATTTGGCCTTTACTACTATAGCCCAAAGAAACGCATTGAATAACACATTAATAAAAATGGCAAAACAGACAGTCAAAAAAAAAATCCTAAGGAAGGTTTTGAAGTCTGACCTATATCTAGGAGATATATAGAAAGCTCAAGATTATTTTTTTTGGGATACATACAGTGCCTTCGGAAAGTATTCAGACCCCTTGACTTTTTCCACATTTTGTTACGTTACAGCCTTATTCTAAAATTGATTATATATTTTTTCCCCTCATCAATCTACACACAATACCCCATACTGACAAAGCAAAAACAGTTTTTTAGAAATAAAATTAATATCACATTTACATAAGTATTCAGACCCTTTACTCAGTACTTTGTTGAAGCACCTTCGGCAGCGATTACAGCATTGAGTCTTCTTGGGTATGACGCTACAAGCTTGGCACACCTGTATTTGGGGAGTTTCTCCCATTCTTCTCTGCAGATCCTCGCAGTCGCTGTCAGGTTGGATGGGGAGCGTTGCTGCACAGCTATTTTCAGGTCTTTCCAGAGATGTTCGATCGAGTTAAAGTCTGGGCTCTGGCTGGGCCACTCAAGGACATT